GTTATCTAAGCCCTAAAAACAAAGGCGACGAAGTTAAAACAAATTTACAAACTAACATGTTGATGCTGAAAAAACCATACGAAAACGAAAAAATTTCTTGCCTTCAAAAAAACATAAGTTTACCAAATGATATTGCTATCAAAGCTAAAATTAAAGAATCAGAAAAAACTCAAAGAAGATCATATGCTGATGAGTTCAGAAATAAGTTTCCTGCAGATATCAATGAAATGTGGGAGCGTTTGACATTTGTATTGGATTTGACTATCAAAAGATTGGAGGAAACTTTAGCTGAGAGGATTGTTAACGATATAAGACGATTATCAAATTTTAATCAAAGTGAAAGTAAATCGCCAAAAATAAATAAACAAATCGACAGCTCCACACTCACACAAATAATTTGTGAGCGCCCTATACCAGATATGGTACACAAAGAAGTATTTGTAGCACAAGATACTTTAAAGGAAGACACTGATGGATGTGTGCAATGTGATTTAATTCAAAATCAGGTGATAGATCAATTGATGTATAAACTGAGCGTTGAAGAGCCAAAACCGAAGCCAGTTTCAAATGCATCTATTAAGAAATTAAGAAAAACAGAAATAGTGAAGGATTATTTTGAAATTTTGAAACCTCCAGCTAGTGCTAGCGTTGCTATCGAGGAAGGTAGGGGTGATATAGGCACAGTTGCTACTGCGACGGCGACAGAGGAGATTCATGCTTCAGAAAGGATTCACCGTCTGCAGATGATGCTCACGGCTCCTAAGATGTTTGTAAGAGAAAACATGTTTATTATAACCAGTGTGCCATCGTTTTTCATTGTGCTGTTGTGTTTTTATGGTCTTGTTGTAATAATTATGAACGCTTGGTAGTTTCTATTAGTCATTTTCGTGTTTTATTTTAATGTTTAAGTAGATTTTTAATGGGTAATTTTCATCAAATGACTTCTCCCGCCCCGAGTAAGGCGAGAGGTTTAATATGTACTCTGTGGCGAGAGGTGTGTCAGACTCTTGCTGACTAAAAACAACGTCGTTCCTTCCCCTACCCGAGGCTGAGACCACAGTAAGTTATTGCGCTTGATCAGCAACCCCAGCTGAACATCTATTGGGTCCCATCTGTGTTGGTCTATTTGCTTTTTGAGGAAAACGCGGAACGCTACGCGCCATACGCCTGGTTCTGGTTGCTCGGCGATCTACCCTTGCACGCCGCCCGCGCTTACGGTGGCTGAAACAGTTTGTTTTTTTCATTGTTCAAGTTTTATTGGGTAAGATTTACTAGGCTTTTCGATTTGTTTGGATTCTTCTTAGTAAACACAGAACTGTATCTAATGCGTAGCATTGAATCTATTGCAAGTAAACATCTTTTTCTCTTTAAATTATGGTAACATGATGACCGAGCTTCTCGTCGACATTTTTTTTTATTTTTTGAAAATGAATCCCTAGCTAGATCTGTTTATCATTTCTGGAAACCCCTGTATATTTAATGTTATGAAAATCGTTGAACTCCTTTCAAGATTGAGATTATATACAGAAAGAAAGAAAAAACATAAATTCGGTACAACACCAGGCACAAACTATACAATGCAAACAAAAATAACTGTGAATAAAAAAAAGAGCACAAAATAGAGGTAGAATATACAAATAATAGTGTTATGCCCGACTGCTGCACCAAAAAAGGTCCGCTCTTTGCCCACCGTACACCTCGTGAGAACACCTAGGTGTGCAATGGGAAGTTTTTTTAGTACTCTTCACCATGGTTGACCTGGATGTACCGTGGGAAATATAAAATTTCCTCCGCCCACTTCATTATCAAAACTTTATATCTGAAGAGCAAATATATTAATGATTAAAACATATTATGCATTACGATATTCTCCTCTGTCTTCTACTATTTGTAATCGGGTGCCATGAAGTGGTAATTTGAGTTCAGGATAAAGATAGAATTCGGCTGGACCCATATCTGGCGAATATGATGGCCTTGTACGAAGGCCATCATTGTGAACGAATTTTTGACCTAACACTTAACAAATACCGCAGCCACCATATTGGCCAGAACTTCATGGAAAGCTTACAAACAGTAAAAGACAGAGGAGAATATCGTAATAAGTAGTAAAAAAAAACTTACACTACTTACTAACTTTACTACTTACTAAGGCACACCTAGGTGTGCAGCGGGAAGTCACGAGGGGTTTTTTTTTGTGAGGGGAAAAAAAAAAGAGGCGCGCGCGGAACGCTACGCGCCGTACGCTCGGGCCTGGTTCTGGTCGGGCGGCAAGCTGCCCTTACTCGCCGACCGCAGGCCCGTGCTTACGGTGGCCGGAGATCGTCCCTCGATCCCCGACGCCCGTAGTGTCGCCAGTTGCGGCTGCTGGGGCGTGAGGAGGAGGATTGCTCCCTCACGCGGGCCGCCTCTCTCTTTGCGAGCATGACTGCTTCACAAAAGGAGGAGACGGCGTCCCAGTTCCTCTCACTCCGCACCATGGCCTCGACTAAGGCCGGGCGCGAGAGGTCGCCGCCGCCGATCACTTCCCTGAGGATACGGCGGTGCTCAGCCCAGGCAGGGCATACCGCTACCGTATGCTCCACCGTATCCTCTAGGTGGTCCTCACAATGACGACACTCGGGCGTTTCCTCCCGCTGGATCCGAAACAGGAACCTACCGAAGCTGTCGTGCCCGGTAAGCACCTGCGTCAGACGGAAGGTGAGGACGCCGTGGCGTCTCTCAAGCCACTCCTCAAAGAGGGGTCTTACCGCTGCTATAGTAGCGTGCCCGGCCCTCGGTTGCGACAGTCGTTGTTTCCACTCTGCCATGAGATCTCGCCGGAGCTCATTCCGCCACGCACTAATTTGGCGCGGCAGAGGATCTTCGCCCCGGCGAAAGTCACGAGGTGTACGGTGGGCAAAGAGCGAAAAGGTCCAGTTCAGCATAAATTTGCCTGACGCTGATTTTCAACTGAACCTGTCGCTGTGGCTGTGACGTAACGGACGTATATATAAAGTTACATAAAGAGTTACTCATAAAATACATTAAATAATTTCTTATTAAATTCAAATAAGTTTAATCGATATCAAAAACGTTCCTGAATTCATTATTTTCCGTCATTAAATTAACTCTATTGAAATTGCTCAATTTTAACTTTTTGACCCACAAAGATTTCGAACAATTTCTTTAAAAATTTCTAAGTTCTATAAGGGAGCGCAAAATTAATGGGACCTCTCAAACATCAGTAAAAATCGATCATAAATATAAGAAACTTGAATTTCCCCTCACAAATTAATGTAGGAAGTAATTAAAAATTTTAATATGAAATACTTTGACTGTAAAAGTTTTTAATATCGTCCAAAAAATTACAATATTTAATACCAATCGCCTCGTTGCCGTTGGTCTAATACATCTACATACATAATTAACTCCCGCTCGCGGCTTACCACACGTAAGATTGTGATGTATACTGGGATTTTAAAAACAGAAGCGTTTAAAGCGATACCTCGTCTAAAATACGCAAATTAATAAATTAATTTCTAACTTATAGCACTCTGGACCATTGCAGCTATCTATCAGTGAAAGAATTTTTTGAATTCCGACCAGCGGTTCCAAAGATTACCCCCTACTTTTTTTTTTTTAATTTTTTTTTTGGTTGAATAGTTCTGTTGAGTTCGTGTGACTATTACTTTTTGATATTATAAAGCCGATTGTTTGAAGGGTTTATTTTTTGTCGGATAGTTCTGTTTAATTCGTGTGAGAAAGGCTTTATCATATAACAAAGTGTTAGTTACACTATCTATATCTCAAGAACAGCTGAACTGATTTGGTTGAAACTGGGTAGGGAGGTAGATAAGAACTGGGAGAAGGTATGTGTATATCATGGGGTAGGGTAAGTAGAGTAGGGTAGGTAGCGTAAGGTAGGTACATTAGGATAGGAAGCGTAAGGTAGGTAGCATAGGGCAGGTATCGTAGGGTAGGTATCGTAGGGTAGGTGGCGTAGGGTAGGTAGCGTAGGGTAAGTAGGTAGTTAGGACAGTATTTCTATGCGAAAAACTCAGGTTCAAACTTCAGAAGAAAGAAAATAAGACACATATTAAATAAATTAATACATTTATTTTTTACACGACGCAGTAATAATGCGTTTTGGAAACATTCCCAAAAGTATTTGTTTTTTATTTAGTTGCTATTTAATATACTTTTTATCCTTTTTAACTGGTAACTGTTGATTTTTTATGATTGCTTTCTTTATAGAAATCGTCATATTTGTATAAGACACCAGTATCTCAAACTGTACTCGGTATAACAGAAACCAACTTGTATCTATATATATGTATATAGACAAAAAAACACTAAATCCCGTTGTTACAAAATAAGGTTTTTCTTTAGAATAGGTCTAAACCATTGAGCACGTTTTTGTATTTCAAATTCAAGGTAAGATGAGATTAAGATTAAAAATAGAAAACCTGACTAAAATTTTTGACCTAGACTAAAGATGAATCTTTATTTGTAATAAAGCATTCGGTTCATGAAAGCTGTTCGACTGGTTTCGAGTCATAACAGGGCTCATAACCTAATGTCTCGTGGCTTGATACTAACCGAACCTGGAACAGTTAATTGTATTTAGTAAGACGTATTGTCTTATTAATGTTATTTTTTTATATAAATCTGAACTAACTGTGGTATTGCATCTTTTCGAATATGACCTTGACCTTGTAGTTTCTGTCTGCCCTTTTTGGATTTAGGAGCAGCTACCGAGTAACATACATACTTCAGTTACTTTATGGGAAACCAGTTACTTTTCTCTAAAAACGACAAAGTACAGGTTGATATATTGGCATCCATACATTAAAAATAATAAATACTGATATTTTAAAACGGTATTTTTAAGAGAATTTGATCATAAGTTGAGCCCTATAGAAAAACAATGGTCATTGTCACTAGTCTTTAAAAACTTATACTCAAATTCTATTAAAAATTTGGTTTATTAATGAAAGCTACTGTTTTTTAACCAATAGATGGCGCTACTATCGATTTAAGTCTGGTCTACTAACACTTTGCCTTATTCGACACATCGACAATAGCGCCTCTACCGGCTATTTTAGGCACGATAGCTCTTAAAAAGATTTGTTCGTTTTTTATTCGGTTAGTTTACTGTCCTTGTGCCAATACTAAGTGTCCAGAACGGTCCAGGGTGAAGACTGGACGAACACGACGACTCCTGGAAAAAATGAAAAACAACTTTCTAGTTCATTATATCTAATCAATTCGATATTTGGGGCATAGATAGTGAAGGAGGCTGAGATTTGATCCGAATTAAGTTATTTTTTGAGGAATTTAACGATGAATGTTTTTGCCAAACCGTTGATGGAACGCAATCGATACCACCTATTGACGGAAATTTAAGGATTGTCGAAGAATCTGCGGCCACCCTAGGGCGCGGCCTGCGGACGACAGACTCGGGGCGTCTTGTCGTTCGACCAGCAGCAAGCCTCGGGGCGGCGGCGCCTTGTTTCGCGCGCGCCTCATAGTTGAGTGACGGTGTTGAGTCGATCGGGGTGACGGGGCCCGCCTAACCATCTGGCGGGTCCAATACCCGTCGAGGGGATGCGACGAATGCTTCGGCGATACCTGCCCCTCCGACACATGGGTTATTGGAGGAACACCGGGTTGGTTTTTAGTCAGTAAGAGTCTGACAGTCCCTTCGACTTTCCCCGAGAGCGGTGGGTCTCCTTGAGGATTTTACAACCAGACACCAAAGAAAAAATAAGGATTGTCGAAGAGAAAGAAGGAATTAAGACCGTCCATGCGTGACGGAGCATGACTCTAATACTTGACACTGTCTGCTTACCTCAGTTTGGCACTCTTCTTCCTGTTTCCATCAGCAATGGCTACTGCTTGCGCAACGACAGGACCGTCTTCCGTCACCTCCTTTTGAAAAAGGTGTAATTTAAAATCTAGGTTAATATTAAATTCAAGATTCAGGTTTAAAACTGATCACAGGCCTAGAAAACTGATTAAGACCGCTTGACAAAAATCTATCTTCACTGTTCTAAATGTCATGTTACATGGGAGGGCCCTTCTTTTTAGAAAATCGTATCTGTTGGGATGATACCACGGCCTCACAGGAAACTCCGCGTGGGCCAATAACAATACAACCACAACGTTGTGTTTCGCTGAGTGATTGAGGTTACCGGAGTCTTCCTTCTTTTTACCTTCTATATTTCCTCTCCCCCATCTCTTCGTAATCCGTAAATCAACGAAACCCTAATCCCTACAAGGCCGGCAACTCGTAAATCCTCTTTGGGGGTGTCCAGGGGCGGTGCCGATTGCTTACCATCAGATAATCCACCTGCTTAATCCTCATCTAATGTTCCTACTGCTCTGGTGTTGCCATTATAGCGCGGATTGCTTACCATTAATCATTAATAAAACCCTAACTCATAGAAAAATCTAGACTTACCTCAGCGGTGGATTCAGTGGTGGTCACGGTTCTAGGAGCCGCCTGTACTCGGGGAACTGGGCGAGGAGCGCCGTACTTAGGTTGCACTCGGGGTTGAGTTCTGCACACAAAACAATAATCAAAATCCCGTATTTCATCAAAACAACAAACTAAAATTGAAGGATATTAATTGAACGCATTGACACTAAATTGAAAAAAGAACTGGAAAGAGGACCAATGATAAAAAAGCACAATTATGGTTTATTTAAAAAAATACATAGATAGGGTTGCGGGGTAAGCGCAATGAGGCACCGCGGCCTCGGCCTAGAGCAGGAGAAGAAACGGGGAAGGTTTAGTCAGTAAGAGGACTACACTGGACGCTTCCTCTCGCCTCACCCTAGGCGGGAGAAGTCACATAATGATTTTCCCAACACATAAAAAACATAGATACTTCGGACCATAGATTTTTAAATTAATTATCCGCCTTGGATTACCTATTATTTATCTGAATCAACTTAAATTGTCAAGGTCATTATATGTATCGTATAATTTGAGCCTAACATATATTTGTAGATAAACAAACAGCAATGCAAATAATAAACAGTCTCATTGCTAATGTGCAAGACGTAATACATTAAAATACATCAATATTCACCCTAAAATGGGGCCATGTCTCCATTGTTACGACAAAATTTACATTAGCAACCGCGCCGCTTCGATACGTGAGCGTGGTACAAGATTAGGCGCACACTATGCGACTTGTAAGACAGAATTACTTTACAAGGTTTTAAGTAACTCAATGAAGATACAAGAATCAAAATCGCCGAAAAATATTATATTAATGTAAGTATGCTAATACCGAATTTATGTACATATATTGTATAAATAAATTGCGTGTGAGGAGATTTCTTAAAATTAAATAATAATTAGAAAGTTTAATAATATTGTATTGTTTTCTATTATTGTTTTAGCTAAGTTTGCTTTGGTAAGATAGTTTTTTCTTCGCCTTAAATTTATATTTTAAGTAATATATTTGAAATGCAATGCAGTGATATTGTAGACTAAGAATATTCCATTTGTGTGTAACCAGCTTGCGCTGTTACAAAAAAAGTAATGCTTTAATTTTTGCTTTGCTATAAAAGATGGATTGTTTTTAAATTGACAATTGGCGAGCCAAATTAATAAAAGAAAAAAATCCTCTGCACTTGACCTCTGTCTAGACGTTGGGAAAACAAAAGCGAAATTCTATTAATACCTTTAATAGAAAAAAGTGTACTACGGGTTTAAAATATCAATTTCTCATTATAAATTCTTAATGCTAACCAGTGAATTGGACAATGATCAACATCAAGAATTTTCCTTAAAACCTAGTTGCATAATTTTCCTCCAATATTACCTATTCCATCCACACGTGGACCTTCGATTACGACAAATATCAGTAACCTTCACCGACAATCGCATATTTGTACTTACTCTTATCCTCCTATTAAAATTCTGTAGGAATCCTGACTAACCTTGTTCCAAAGGCTGTAGCCACTGCTGTAGCCTTGTTTCCTTCGTCTTGTTCTTCTTCTTGCTCCTGAGGTTCTTCAATATCATTTCCTTGCTGGTTCACATCCAAACCACTCTGGAGAGCATCTGGACTTTGGCTCTGAGGATACTGGTTCTGTGGCTCCAGTTGACCTTGGAATAATTGCTGCTGGAATTGATTGACATCTTGCCCTGGGTAGTTTATCAGTTGAGCCTGAATGTAACCTGGTTGAGGTTGGTATTGAGCTTGGTATTGATTCGCTGGAACTAGGAATGGCTGCTGATAAAGTTGGGGTTGGTAATTATTGTTGTCGTTGCTTTCAGCATCTTGGTTTTCTTGGTCCGGTTGGGGTTGAGGTTGACTAGGTTGAAATTGAGCAGGTTGTGGCTGGAATTGGGCAGGCTGTGGTTGGAATTGAGCTGGTTGAGGCTGGAATTGCGCTGGCTGAGGTTGAAATTGAACAGTCTGTGGTTGATATTGATCTGGCTGTTGAGGTTGGAACTGAGCTGGTTGTTGAGGCTGGAATTGCGCTGGTTGAGGTTGGAATTGAACAGTCTGTGGCTGATATTGATCAAGCTGTTGAGGTTGGAACTGAGCTGGTTGTTGAGGTTGGAACTGAGCTGGTTGTTGAGGTTGGAATGGAGCTGGTTGCAACTGGTTTACACCTTGAGGCTGCAATACTACAGGCTGAGCAGTAAATTGAGGGGCAGGCTGTAATTGTTGAGGGAAAGCATTCACAGGCTGGTATTGAGCTACAGGTTCCACATTCGGTTGTGCGTAGAAACCCTGAGGCTGTACTGCTTGAGCGGGTTGGACTGCAATAGGCTCAGCTTGGAATTGAGGCTGCTGATAAGCGGTGACGGGCTGAATTTGAGCTTGAGGTTGTTCGGCAACAAAAACAGCAGGATTTTGATAACCTTGCTCAAGTTTCTGCTGCTGTAATTGCTGCTGAGCTAAAATTGAAGGCAGAGCCGCAAAATGTGTTTGAGCATCGAAACCAGCGACTTGCTTTTGTGATTGAGATTGAACTGATTGAAGGATTAATGGAGCTCTAAGCTGACCAAACTGCTGGATAGGAACAAACTGTGGTTGAAACTGAAGCTGGGCCAAAGAACTTAGGAACAGTTCACCAGGATATTCTTGTATCTTCTGTTTTGCTACTTCTACGGATACTTTAGCATCTTTGTCTGAAGATTCCAAAGTCTCGCCTTCGTTTAAGTTTAGTTCTGTAGTTGATGCCTCAGTGGAAGCTTCAGTTGTTGGCTGTTCTGTGGTAGAAGTGGTGGTTCTTGGAGCAAATTGGGCGGGGATTTGTGGTCTTGGCAGACGGTTGGCAGCGTTGAATTGGGCATCTCTTTGCTGTTGCCTCTCGAATTCACGGTAGCGCTGTTGCTGTTCCTGGAACTAATTAAATTAGTTCATTTTAAGTGCTTTATATAGCGTTCTGTGTTTTTAATAATAATGTATCTTGAAGACATTAATCCAAGATTTTAAATCTTTTTAATTTGGATTATATCAAAATTGTGCATACTTTTTTAATACTAGCCTCAAGTCAACACATGTAGCTTAAATAACCTAGCCTTTTTAAGCTAGTTGCAAAAGAGTTGCTCGATTTTTTAGCTAACTAATTAAAAAGAACTACTTAACTCTACTCGTTTAGAACTATAAACAAAATTACCGTTGTGTTAAATAAAAAAAAAACATCATAAATTACGAAAACATATTGAACTCAAATTTTCTAAGAAAGTCTTCATCAGTACCTGTGTCTGTTTCAATCCTTGGTCCAAATTCTGGAGATCAGAATTGAAACCAGGTCCAACGTTTTGTTTTCCATTCACTGGAGACCTTTGGAAGAAAGGAACTTCCTCCCTTTGAGGCGGTAGACCCTGGACAGAGACGTCTTCTTCTTCTTGAGGAGTACCATATTCCACGCTGGGGTTGGGGTAACGAGGGTCTAAGGACGCTGAAGGTGGAAGGTATTGCGCAGGTTGCTGTGAACAAAAATAATACATTTCCATTGATATATTTTTGAGAGCGATGATAAATCTAAATGAGTCGATCGAAAACCCAAAAGGCGTTGCGAACTTGCGACTCTCCATGGGCCGCGCCGACTGCTTACCATCAGGTATTCCGTTTGCTCGCTAGCCAATTTTTCACTTCTTACTAATATTATAAATGCGAAAGTTACGATGTTTGCCAAAACGGCTGGACGGATCTAGATGAAATTTGGCATAAACGTAGGCACTCCGGAATAGGACATAGGTTACTTTTTATCATCATACCACGCGGGTGAAGCCGCGATCGGAAGTTAGTCAAACATATGGATTGATTTTTCGGCCCCGAAACTCTTTACATACAAAATCACATCATAATCGTTGAAGCCGTTTGTGAGACCTATTAGTTATACTAATATTTCGTTTAAAAGTATTCAATTTAAATTTGTTTTCTAGATATTGGTTACCCAAACATTGTGAGATACGCCTTAAAAGTGACTTCATCAAGCTAAAATTTACCTGGTTTTGTCCTCTTTGCGGAAGGATAAAGGCTGGTCCATCAGGCTTCCATCCACTGGGAGCATACGGCGCCGGGGGCTCCGCCACAGCCCCGCTAACCAGCAACGATATTACAGCTAATAACTCCTGGAAGATGAAGAGCATATTCTTTTAGAAGACCCTGCTTCATCACTTACTTCTATGTATACTAATGTAATAAAGAGGTAAAATTTGATGTAATCAAATCCCAAAGGTAATCTTTGTGATCCCTGGTCGGATTTCCCAAATTCTTTCACGGATCTACAATGTTCCTTGCCTAGGCTATAAATTATACTTTTAGCGTATTTTAGTCGATTTATCGCTTTAAACGCTGTTGTTATTAAAATCCATGAATACTTTACTTAGATTATTAGATGAAATGGGACAAGCCAAACTATAAACTTTGACTGCACAATTGGCGCAGTGGTTGGGCAACGTGTCGCGGGTTCGATTCCCGAACGGACCAACATTTTGTTTGATCCGGAAATTGTTGTTTCAGGTCTGGGTGCCATGTGTATGTGAAATTGTATGTCTGTAAATTTTACAGATTTAGATAGAAGAAGATTTAGACAGAAGATAGATTTATATAGAATTATACAGAACTAGCAGCTCGCCCCTGCTTCGCACGGGTCTCTATAACCAAACTCCCCCCTCTACTTTTCTAAAATTTTCTTTCATAAGAACCTTCTCCTGACAATAACAAACACAACCAAAAAAGAATTAGCAAAATTAGTCCAGGCGTTGTTGAGTTATGCGCTTACCAACATATTTTGCGATCCATTTTTATATATAAGATTATACAGAATTTTACGATACAGGAGAAAATCCTAGTGTAGAGCAACGTTTTCTATGTAAAGAAAAAGAACGAAAGGTATAGGTAGATAGGTCATATGAAAATAGGTGTAAGGCAGTCAAAACATGCTTATGTACTTGGGCAATACCGCTTATATACTACAATTGCGATCTAAGTATATAATTTCTATACATGTCTTCGACTGTTACGACACCTACCTATGTTATGGGTGAACAGTAGGGTCTCTAGTCTTATGCAAGTTTTTATTAACCATTTTAAACGTGAGAGTTTGTTTTTAAAGGTTTTTATTTTAACTAGTTTTTTTTTTAATTATAGAGTGATTTATTTTTAAACTTGGTTTTTACATTTTTAAATATTTACACAAAACAAAAAAAAAGCAAAAACACTTAAAAATATAAAAAGCACTATCCCACCGGTTACGGGAGGGTTCCAAGCAACCGGTGGTCAGGGCTCCAGTGAAATTATTATTATTATTTCGGATCTGGGACTGAATTTGTATATTTGGAACAGAGACACAGGAGGAATATTAATTCATCAAAACCTCAAGCGAACGCCGGCGTTCGCGTATCTTATTGTTCTTCTATTGTATTTCGAATTATGTACCACTATTGAAAACAAGTTAAAAAACTTGTTTTTTTTAAGACACTAATGTTGTTTCGAGTCTGGATGTTCGTATGTTTGCAAACGTACCACCGACAGAGAAGAAAATCTTAATTACTCAAACCCCAAACGAACGCTGGCGTTCTTGTAGTGTGTCTCGAATTACAACGAATGAAAGGTTATTAACGTTTATAACTTCAAAATTTTTCAAAGTTAAGTTTAAAAAAAAATTTTTTTTATAAAGACACCGAAATTTAAGATTTTAAGTAAGAAAAATATTTGTCCTCTGCCTGTCTTTCGGGATTATAAGGTTTGATGTTAAGCTCTCAATAAAAAAAATTAAGCATCGCAATTATGAAAAAAAAATACTCTACTCGATTCTTTGGCAGTTTTTTTTATCAGGTAATTGATTTGTTTGGACTTTTCAATTGAATACATTATACATACTTATTCGATTATTGAATTAAAAAACAGAAAAAAAACACACTTTAATATAGTAATATCATGGTTTAGGTAGGTTCTTAATTTTCATATTTTCGAAAGTAATAAAGAAATAAATAACGAAAGTGTGCTATTTCATGCAAAAAAATAATAAATGACATCAGTACACATCTTTAAATAACTATCTAATTTGACAATTCCAAAAACATAATTCAATCTAACTTGTTTTAAGTACCCAAATCGATTACCGCCTACATGCAATAAATTGCAACAAAAATATTGCACCAAAAAACAAAAACCCGAATCACAAAAAAATTAAAGAAAAAAAGAAAATTCCACAAGCACACATACACAATCACAACAAACAAGCACTTTAAAAAAACACACACAGAAAAAAATATAAGCGGTCGATATTTAAAATTGGAACGTGTTATCACCTTCATTTTCGTCGACTTTCGTTCTTAAGCGACGCCCGCGCATCGCTTTTATAGACAATAGTTTTTGTACATTGAAATTCGAATCGCGCGCTTAACCGACCTTAGTTTTAGGGTTGGCAATAGGAAAAATACATTGTAATTAGGTGACATTGGTTTGTAGATTCAATTGTTACAATTAACTGCATAGTCGTACATTCAATTTCAGCAGATTATTTCTGTGTATTGTTACCCTTTTAAGGTACGTTTATTTTATTTGTTAAACTACATAGCTTCCACCCTGGCTTCGCACTTTAGTTTGACTAAAAAACGCAAATTGATAATTTATTGGATACTGTCTTTGTTCGCGCTTGTGTTCGAAATAGTGATTTCCTGCAGATTTTTGGTATAAAAACTATCAAAAGTCAAAAATCATTTATTTCAATTAGGTCACAGTGGGCACATTTAAACTTCAAGCTAAAAAGAAAAAGAAAATATATTTCAATAGGTTTAAAACCAAATTTCACACAAATAGTATCAGTAGTTTAGGCGTGAAGAAAAGACAGACAGACCAGAGTTACTTTCGCATTTATAATATTAGTTTGGATAGCACTCAGGAACATTGTAGCTATCTCAGTGAAAGAATTTTGTAAATCCAACCAGTGGTTCCCAAGATTTCGCCCTACATACAAACACACAAATTTTAACTCTTTATAATATTAGTATTAATTGAATTGCTATTCGTTAGCATCTCTAGAACTCGGTAACTGCTGAACAGATTTGGCTACTATTGGTCTTAAAAAATTCGTGTAAATCAAAGAAAGGTTTAGATGTCAAAAATAGTGGTTAATTTTAGAGCGGTATGGAGTTCGCCGGGTCAAGTTGTATTTAATTAATGATTACGTTTAACAGCTCTCTCCATAACATGAGCCCCTACCGTGGCTTGAAATCGGTCGAGTCCCTTGTCAAAAATTTTCATGAATAACAAACGCATGTGACTTTTTCCGGGTTATATGTACTTTCTATAATTATTTAGACACCACTGACATACGGTGAAGGTAAACATCGTGAGGAAACCTGGACTTATAATTTCGAATTATAATTTGAAATCGCCAACCCGCATTGAGCAAGCGTGGCGATTAATGCTCTTACCTTTTCCGTGTGAGAAGAGGCCTTTGCTCAGCAGTTATAAGTAAGTTAAGTCACTTATAGGCTGATAATGACGATGATGTCGGCAAACGACCAGATCCATCACTTAATGGTAAGCATGGGGTCACTCGCTTTTTTTTGTCTCCTTGTTGTAGATTTTATGTGATCTTTTGGCCGTTGGGTTTTGATTATTATTATTTATTATTTATTTATTATTGCTTAAGACATTTTACATTATAAAAAGTATAAAATGTCCAACAAAACTGTATACACAGTTTGTCTGTTGGATCAGATTTCAAAAACTAACTTAATAGAACCTATAGTAAGTCCTATTGACTTACTATAGGTTCTATTAAGTTAAGTTTTCAATAATAATAAAATTGACAATAAATGCGATGGACGCAAATTAATATATTAGTATATATTAGTATTATATATGTTAAGTTATATAAGTAGTATTAGCAGGTTAAATAATTGATTGTAACGATTGGTCTGTCGCATGATGTTTTGGGTAGCCCCATATTTGATTCCCGCACGGAATGATTCTTTATGGGACTTATATCGCTTACCTCTAGATGAAATAGCGGCCAAACGCCAGCCTATTACAAATCACTACACATTATAAAACGAAGACGCTTTCTCCATCCCTATATCCCTATGTATGCTTAAATTTAGATAAGATGAATTTAGATACGTTTCTGCAGATAAAATCTCATAAATTCTAACTAATTCTCTAAAAAATATTAATGACAACCCTAGAACGTGTCACACAAATATGAGTCACTGTCAGTCCTGTGTCCTGCCAATTGGATCGGTGCAGACTGCATCGTTTTTGAATTAAAACTATGATATACGGTTGATTGCACTAATAAACTATCTTGTCATTGGTATTATAATAAGCCCAAGGTCAATCGTAGAGGTTCTGAACCCATTCCATAACTCCATTACCATTCCATGCACATGAGCCTCATCATCAGCCTATAAGTGTTCACTGCTGAGCAAAGGCCTCTTCTGATACAGAGAAGGTTAGAGCATTAATCACCACGCTTGCTCAATGCGGGTTGGCGATTTCAAACTTACAATTAGAAATTTATAAGTCCAGGTTTCCTTACGATGTTTACCTTCACCATATGTCAGTGGTGTCTAAAATAATCAAAGAAAGTACATACCTATAACTCGGAAAAAGTCACATTGGTACTTGCCAGGTTTCGAATCCTCATGCATGAGAAGCGGGCTCCTTAACCTTCGGGCCACCACGACATGAGCATACATAAGAGATAAAAGGGTCCTCCCCTTTTTGTGTGTGGGAAAGCCATGACTAAGCACGAATGGGTCAGGTCAACCGGAGTGACACTATAGCCTTACAGAAAAATGGCATGAAACAACGCTTAGGCGTGTTTCGCCGTGTGAGTGAATTTGTCGAGGCCCAATCTCTCTCACCTTCCCATCTCCTAACCAATCCGAAATCCCTAACACCCAAAAAGGCCAGCAACGGAAATGTAATTCCTGTGGTGTCCATAGGCATCGTCGTTGTTTCCCATTAGATAATAGCCCGTTTTTTATCAGACTATAGATCTGCTCTACATAAGACAATTTGTCATTACATCCACGCTTTTTTTTTGGTGAGGGGAAAATCATCAAATTACTTCTCCCGCCCATGTGTCAGACTGTTACTGACTAAAAACCCCCCGTTCATTCTCCTGCTCTAGGCTGAGGTGGCGGTGCCTCATTGCGC